GGCAGCCCTCTGCCTCTGGAAACGTGGGGGCTCCTGGGCCCTGTGGAATAAGTAGATCTCTGCGTGCCCCAGCCCCCTGACTCCCGTGGCGGCCTCTGCGCCTGCAGAGCGGGAGCGGGGATTCCCGCTGATGCCCGCTGTGCAGAGGGGTCTAGTGGAGGACTGCAGTGCTGTTCAGCCCAATGCTGACACCATCTGGATGGAAACAGGCATGAACCAACACAGCCAGTGGGCTGGACTCCGAGCCGTCTGGCAGTGGTCGCTCAGGAGCCCTGGCTGTTCACCCTGTGCACTGACGGGGCTGTTCTACAGGGATGAACCCTATGGCTGGGACAAGGGGAAGCCAAGGGCTGGATGATCATGAATGAGGCCTCGTGGGGTCAGGATGTGTGGAGGGACATTTGGGCTCACCCGCAAGAGCCTGAGGCAGTTCCCACTGTCTGCCACGTCCGGTTCATGAGGCGCTGACGCCCCCTGGCAGTCAGGAAGCTGATGGCCCAGCACAGGGACAAGCCGGACAACCGCCCCTTCAGTAGACACAGCAGACTGGGTGCACAGGAAGGAAGAGCAGCCACTGCAGGCCCCGGGGCGGGGTTGGGGGGGGGAGGATGACACATTGCCAAGGATGGTGACTGCCCTTGAAATACAGTGACTTGGTTGCTGCGGTAACAGCACGTCCTGTGTGTTCTAATCAATGCCCCAGGCAGCTGCCAATGGAGTCCGGGGCTGACCACCGGCATTCCCCACTGGAGAGGGACTGGACAAATTGGTTTTATGGGCCCCCTCCCTGTGAGCGAGGGTTCTAAGTCTGTCTTGGTTTGTGTGGACACCGCATCTATGTTAACTCGAGCTTTCTCCCGTCACTGTGTAAACCAGGCTGCCACCCTCGGAGGATTAAAGAAGCTGAGTACCATGTGTGGATGCCTTCATCGACTGGACAGTGATCAGGGGTCACATTTTCAGGGTCATGATGTGCAAGATTTGGCAAAGAACATGACATCGAATGGAGGTTCCTTCTCCCTGTAACCACAGCAGCAGGGTTGGTCAAAAGGAAGAATGGATCTTAAAGCAGCAGATTAAATTACTACTAGGTGAAACCACCGTGGCCAGGTGGACTGAAGTACTGTCCCAGGCTTTAACAGGTCTGAATGATCAACCATAGGGCCTCTTGCCCCATATGCCAGACTGGGGACCCCTGCCGAGACACCCAACACTGTAAAACATGGAAGTCACAGGAGACAGTCATTGTCCCGACTCTCACTGAGGATCAACCTGCTATGCTGCTGAGAACACCAAGCCCATCATGCCTGGGAAAGGGGTTATCTGCTGGGATCGGCAATGGATGTCCCACTGGGACGGGTGAATTACTTTGCACCCCTGGGTGAGGGGGACTCCTCATTCTCCACTGGGATCCTGTTCTGCTGCAAGTTGGCCCTGTGGAAACATACCGCACCTGGAATGGAGCATGCCCACTGGAAGAGACGAGAAGGCAGGGGTCGTGGGCTGGCATACCCGCCCCTAGTCCATCTCCTCACGCCTGCCAGTGCTGCCTCCCCCAGCCAACACGTGTGCTGTGCACAACCAGCTCAAGTTCCGAGAGCTGCAGCCGCATTAACATCTAAGGACCAGGTCACACAAGTAATTCTTATAGAAGGAGAAGCCTTCCCCTCCAAGGTCCTACTCAACATCCGTCTTTTTGACCTTAGACTTCTGCTGCTCCTGTGGTGGCTGGTCACAGGATGGACAGCTTTCTACAGTGGCCACTCATATGCACGGCAGAGGAATCAATCCAACTGCTGGGTCTGTGGGCAGCTGTCCTTCTCTAGCTCATCAGGATTGCCGTGGTGGGCGTCACCATCTGGGGGAGCACTGGAAGGCCCTGGAGCAGTGCACTGAGGAAGAGCAAGCTAGGACAAAGGCTCTGAGCTCCTCTGATGTTACCAACACAGAGCCAGAAACCTGGCCTGTGGCACACTCTATCAATAACACGGAGTGTGGGGGTTCTTTTCCTGTCAATTAAACTACATAGGCAGCCCGTCAAAGTGTCAACCAGAAGAGTCCTGAAAACACCACAATCAGAGCCGTATGTGGCTCTGTTCAGATTTGGGATGGGTTCATGTGGCTTACCCCGGGTTATGGATATTTGAGCACCAGGCACCCCTATGCTGGTGTGGAAATTAACAAAAGAACCTTAACTAAACTGGAGCTGGGAAGGCCTGCAGGGGGCGTTCTCACCCCCTCACACACAGTCAATTACACCAAACAGGAAGAGAGGATGCTTGCATCTCAGACAGTAGTAGAACTACTTTACTGCTGAAGGAAGGCTTCTCTCCCCACCTGGCAACAGCCCAGCCAATGAGAAACTGCACAGCTCAGCCAATGAGAAACCCCACAGGTCAGCCAATGAGAAATGCCACAGTGCAACCAATGAGAAATGCCACAGCTCAGCCAGTGAGAAACGCCACAGCCCAGCCAATGAGAAACGCCACAGCTCAGCCAATGAGAAACGCCACAGTGCAACCAATGAGGAAGGCCACAGCTCAGCCAGTGAGAAATGCCACAGCTCAGCCAATGAGAAATGCCACAGCCCAGCCAATGAGAAGTGCTGCAGCTCAGCCAATGAGAAATGCTGCAGCTCAGCCAATGAGAAGCTGTTGCTGCCCTGAACCGCTACTTTCCAGCAACTGACTTTCCTTTAGAACAGCCCCCCCATCCCGCTTTTTCTCTGTAAAAGCAGCTCCCCTCCATTCTGTCCAGATTTGCCTGTGGTCTGCCACAGCGTGCACATCTCACATTGCAATTCTTTTGGCTATTTCTAAATAAACTCATTCTGAGATAAAATAACAGGTAAATTTGCTTTTTAAATTGACATTGGGAACAGAAAAACCACTCTAAATAGAACCAATCTAATTGTACCAGGGATATGGGATGGATATCACCAGAACTGTGCAGTCATTCTGTCACATTAAAGGACAGTGACCGATTTGGCACTGATCATGCTGGCCAGGTACTTACTGGGTAGCCCTGGATGAGACCCAGTGGTTCTATGGCACAGATCTTTGCCATGGCTTCCACCTGGGTGGTCAGGCCACTGCACCCTGTGTTCTCCCTGGACACAGGGGAGACTCTGCCCTGTGGTAACAAGAGTCGCCAACCTCCCTCTCCTCAAGGCTGGATGGGCACGTTCTGTTTTCCACTGGTACAATCAGTTGGCCACTGTCCTCGTTCCCTGTGTTGGCCTGAGTGATGTTATAGCACACATGGAAGCCCTTACTAAATTCACCCAGCTAGCCTTAAATGAGCCAACAAAGCCTCTCCTTACTGAACACTGAAATGTCTATAGTGACAAACACTGTCCTCCAAAACAGGATGGCCTTAAACGTCACAAGGGGGCACCTGTGCCATTATCCAAGCAGAACATTGTGTTCATATCTGATGAGTCTGCTAATGTGTCATCTTTATTAAAGCACGTGAGGACACAAGTGACTCGACCCACAGCCTAGAAGACTTGATAAATCAGTGGTTGGGGTCATGGAGCCCTTGGTGGAAAAAACTGTATTTTGGGAATCATTATCTTAATCTGTGTCTTCTCTAGCACGTGCCCCTATTGCTGCTGCCATACCTGTCTCCAGTGCAGCCAGATAGCTGCCAAACAAGCCACCTCCGGGTTAATGAAACCCTGTGCTGACCACTCAGGGCACAGTGCCGGGGGGGGGGGGGCACCAGGTGAGAGTGTAAGAGCAGGTCCCGAGGGCCGGAGTGTTGGAGGAGGCCATCGAGAGCATGTGACCCCAGGCTGACCCCAGAGCTGCGCTCAGGCAATCGGAGGCTCATTCCCTCCCTCCCCTGTCCTTGGAAGGTACATCTCACCCACTGTTCTCATACCAGGAGCAACTTGACGTTCGCAGCCTTGAGAGACTACTGTGTTATTGAGACCATCTGGACAGTGTATGTGACTGACCCCGTTAAGGCCTCTATAGAAACTCAAGATTCTGGCAGGTGGGTACGGAGATCTGCTCATCCTGCTGCCACCAAGACAAGTCTCGTACATAAGTTCTCTTGCTTATTGCCCATCTGGAATGGTCTGCCTCATTCTTCCATCTCTTCTTGCCCTGCATGTATGGGGGCCAGTTTTGAGTTTCCCCCGGGGAACTCCCAAAGTTGTGAACCAATATTCCTCTTAAGCAGTGGGAATAATGGGGTACTTCAAGAGGAACGCATAGTTTGTTCATTTCTGTATCTCATTATTGGGGTGTCTTTTCCAGGATTTTTGTGTCTGACGGGCACTGACATTTGAATTTCATTTAATTTTCACATGTCATTAAATATTATTCTTCTTTTGATTTCCCCCCAATCACTTACAAATATAAAAATCATTCTTAGCTCATGGGTCCTACAAAAAACAGGCAGTGGGCCAACCCATGATATTGTAGAAAATCTGAAAATATTGAAGAATAGTTAATATTCTGTTCCCTGATTTTCCATATTTCGTCCCTGAGGCGTGTAAAAGTATGTCAATATACTAAATACTTTGATGTCTCATTTTTAAAAACTAACTGTATCTGTGAACAAGTCCTCAAGTCATACCCAAGATTTCGTGGCTCATGGTGGCCCATGTTTTTCGTTATTTAAACTAAATGCTGCATAAGCCATGAAAGTTTCCTTTAACATCACTTCCTAGAACTAGAATTGCGGGTTTTTCACATTTCTCCCCCAAATTTCCTGGGAAACACGAGCTTGTTTCTGAAGAAGCCGCTAATGCTGCAAGGAATTCTGGGGAACGTAGTTCAGCTTTGCAGCAAGCGAGTCTCCCGGCGCTCCGCAGGAATATTTCCGGCGGAAGTTGCTCGGCGTGAGAAGGCGGCGAGATAGTTTTCCACAAACGCCGCTCACCCGCGCGCCTGGATAGCGCATGGGGGGGCGTGGCTCCAGGTCCCCACGCGATTGGCTGGTGGCTTTCCGGGCACGCGCATACGGCGCTTCGGCCCCTGCCCTCACAAGGCCGTCTGGGAGTTGTAGTTCGGACTTCTGCCCGCACTCGGCCGTCGGGCGGCTGCTGGAGGTCCGAGGCAGTCCCCCGCCTTCGGCGTTTGGCTCGGAGGATGGATCCTGGGCCCGGGCCCGACGCGGCGCCGCTGACTGGCCTGGCCTGGTCGTCGGCCTCGGCGCCCCCGCCGCGGGGATTCAGCGCGGTGAGCTCCGTCGGGGGGCGGGGGTTGAATGGGGGCCAAGGCGGCCGCAGCCGGCTAAGGGCTGGGCGCTGATCCGCGTCCCCCCCAGATCTCCAGCACCGTGGAGGGGACGCCCGCCAGCTTCGGCAAGAGCTTCGCGCAGAAATCTGGCTACTTCCTGTGTGTCAGTCTCTTGGGCAGTCTGGAGGTAAGGGGCGTCCACCCTCGAGATCCCCGGGGTCCGCCACCTCCCGTGCCCATTCGCTGGGCCCTGCGCCAGGCGCGCCGTCCGCGCTGCTGGGTGACTCTCGCTCTGTCCCCGCCCTCAGAATCCGCAGGAGAACGTGGTGGCCGAAATCCAGGTCCTGGTGGACAAGAGCCCTCTCCCGCCCGGCTTCTCCCCGGTCTGCGACCCCCTGGACTCCAGTGAGGCCCGCGTCGGAGGCGGAGTTGGAGGGCGGAGGGGGCGTTCTCTTCCCTGCGGGGAGGACCAGGAAGGGAGTGGAGGGACGACAGGCGCGCGATCTCTGAGCCTCTGCCGTGCCCTCGATGCACTGGGTGATGACAGGGCTGGCTGTGCACTTGGAGCCCTGTTCTAGGGCGCGGCGCTGTGCCCTGCCCTGCGTAAAAATGAGCGATTGGCACAGCTTGTGCTAGAGTAAGAATTCAGTCGCCGCCTGTTTTATTACTATTCCTGCTACACCTGCTCCTTACATGTAGCCAGGCTGAACCCCCTGCGGTTCCTTTTAATTTCCAGACTTTTGCGCAGCCGCGTCCTCTGCCTGGAACACCCTCTCCGTCCTCGGGTTAGCTGATGCTTCCTCGCCCGCGCCCCTCCTCTTCTGGCTTGCGTGCCTCGAGCCTCCTGCTGCCCTCCCAGCCCTGACTTTTCTGGTGTCTAACCACTTGGCTCTCCCTGCCTCTGTCGTGTCTTGTCGTTTATATTTGACTCTCAGAGCAAATCTATTGATAATGGACTTGGCAAACTTTCGGTAAAGAGCCAGATAGGAAATATTTTAGGCTTTGTAGGCCAGATGGTGTCTGTTGCAAAATTTTTTTTTTTTTTTTACAACACTTTAAGAAGGTAAAACCATTCTTAGCTCTTGAGTGGTGCAAAACAGACCTTGGGTGGGATTTTGCTCGTGGGCTGTAGTTTGCTCACCCCTGGATTTGAGGACTGAGGAAGAACAAGATTTGGAGGGCCAGGATGGGGTCCCAGTTCTGCCTGACTCCACAGCTACCCACACTTGCTGTGGTGTGCACGGCCACCCCATGAATGCTCCTCCCTGTCACCAAAGGTGAGCCTGCCCCAAGGGCTCCTAAAGACTGCGTGGAGTCCCCTCCTATGGCCATACCATTCACGATTTAACCACCACCCTAGCACTATCCACGTGGCTGTCTTAAACCACGCCCTGGTGAGCATCCTCTGGGACCATCTTTGGACCCCTTCCCTACCTTTCTCTCTTCTCACTCCCCTGCCCCCCACTCGCAGAGGCCTCCGTGTCCAAGAAGAAGCGCATGTGTGTGAGGCTGGTGCCCCTGGGGGCTGTGGACACGGCTGTGTTTGACGTCCGGCTGAGCGGGAAGACCAAGACAGTGCCTGGGTACCTGCGAGTAGGGTAGGGTCGCCCCCAGCCCCTGGCCTCCTTCCTTGCCCTTCCAACTCCCATGTCTACTCTCTGACCCGCAGGGACTCCCTTGAGTCTCCCTGTCCTTTCTACCACCTCTCTGTTCCTCAGTTCCCACACGTTAAAATGGGGGCAGGTGCACCAGTCTCGTAGGCTCATCGTGAGGAGTAAATGCGCTGGGGTGTCTAAAGTGCCTGGCACGGGGATCGGGCCCAGCAATGTGAGTTAGTGTGTGGCTTCGGGTATGGGCTGAGACACTGAAACAGAAATCTCCTGGAGGCCTGGCTTCCTCCTGCCTCCCCTGGCTGCACACTGGGCCAGAGCCCCTCCCCTCTGTCCTCCGCCTCTAGGGACATGGGTGGCTTCGCCATCTGGTGCAAGAAGGCCAAGGTCCCTCGGCCGGTGCCCAAGCCCCGAGCTCTCAGCCAGGACATGAGGGGCCTCTCCCTGGACCCTCCCGGCCAGCCCAGGTGAGTCCTCAGGCTCGGGGATGGGGGCGGCCATGGAGGGCGTCAGACCTGAGCCACCCCGTGCCACCTTCACCAGCAGGAGTGGCTTGCCGGAGCGGACGCTGTCGAGGATGGGCTCGCGGGCGTCCACCCTGCGGAGGAACGACTCCATCTACGAGGCCTCCAACCTCTATGGCATCTCCGGTGAGTGAGAAACTGTGGGGTTTGTGCCACCGCTGGCCGAAAGTTGTATAGTCCGGAAGGGGCAGGGCCAAGGTTGGAACCAGGCCTGGGCCTCCCCGGTTCTGTGCAGACTGGGGCGAGCGGGGCCTTCAGGGGGCCTCTCAGGTGGGGGTGGGCAGCAGGCAGGCCTCAGGTCCCCTCTGCCTCAGCTCCATCCCCGCCTGTTTCCTCAGCCATGGATGGGGTTCCCTTCACACTGCACCCCCGGTTTGAGGGCAAGAGCTGCAGCCCCCTGGTGAGTCTGTCCCTGAGGAGCCTGAGTCTGCTCTGCCCATCGCCTTTCTAGGCACCAGGATGTGGGGAGCGTCCTCTGTGCATCCAGCGTCCTGGCACCGAGGCCCGTGTTCCTGGGTTGGGGGAGGCTGGAGGCCAAGGTGGGGGCTGGAGGGTCTTGGTCCTGGAATGGGGGTGTCAGGAGGGACAACTGGACGCTGGTGGCTAGAGGCTGTGGCGGGAAGGGGAGGGGTGTTCAGGCAACTATTGAGGGGGACCCTCTGTGAAGATGAGGGAATGGGGGTTCCAGGTTGGGGTCCCTGCTCCAGACTGACCTGCCCCTGCCTGCCAGGCCTTCTCTGCCTTTGCTGATCTGACCATCAAGTCGCTGGCGGACATTGAGGAGGAGGTGGGTGACGGGACCAGGATGGGGTGCCAGGACCCCCCACCCAGGCCACAGAGTCTCCCCCAGCCACACCTCACCTCCCAGGGGCAGGAGATCGCTCAGCCCCTGATCCCCACCACCCCACCATCCTCCGGGCCCCCACAGTCCCTCCCTCACTCTGTGCTCTCCCCTCCCCCAGTACAACTACGGCTTCGTGGTGGAGAAGACGGCAGCTGCCCGCCTGCCCCCCAGCGTCTCGTAGCCCCTCGCCAGCCACTCGCCACCCGACGCCTGCAGCCTGGCAGCTGCGCACCCCTCCCCATTTTGGGAACCTTGGGGATGGAGGGCATTCTGGACCCTCAGTCCCCTGGCGGAGCTGCATTCCTGGAGGAGGGGACAACCTGGCTGTTTGGTGATGGGGTTTCCCACCCCTGGGCCCTGCAGGGCAGGGGTGGGGGCTGGATGAAACCAGTGCCTTCAAGTCATTCGTGTCAAAACTCTCTGGGGCCTGGAGGCCACGTGGGCATCCTCCTGGCAATAAACACAGCCCTGTCCCGTGACTGGTCCTGATGCTGCCGTGGGGCCGCTGTTGCTGGCGGTCTCCACCACGCACACGGAGCACAAGCCGGGGCGGCGCACACTGAGCAATCCGGTGAAATCAGCGGGGAGGCAGCGCTGCTGCGACAACCATTCACAGATAGGGAAACGGGCTCAGCGAGTGCCTGAGCCGGGATTCTAGGTCACAGACATGACCTGGGCCCGCCCGTCCATCGTTGCACGTAACAGGGATAATAGTAATGGCCACCGTTTATATGGTATGGACAGCACCCCCCATCCCCTGCTGCATGGCGTCCCATTCAGTCCTCCCACAGTCCAGGGGGAAGCCCTGGTTTTGCCACCGCTTTACAGATAGGGAAACTGAGGCAGGGGCGGCTAGGTCACAGCTGGGATTTGAACCCAGAGCCTGCTGTCCTAACCATCACGCTATTGTGCATGGCCCTTTTCCTCCGCTGCCCGGTGGATACTTAACAATCGATTCTCGTTATTCGCGACAAAGTTCTATAGGGTTGCCGCAAAAACTGAATTAGGAATTAGGGAAAACTGGGTTTCTGGAGAAGGACTGGGAGAGGTTCCTGCGGGCCTCCGCGCACCGTCGGGGTCGGTCAGCGCATGACGTGTGTTGCCGGTGTGGCGTTCCAGACGCCTTGTTTGACGCATATTGTCGGTTCGCTGGTGCTCCCCCCGCAGCCCCCGGCGCTGCGGCTGGTGCCTGAAGGAGGCAGGCCTGACCCCTGCACTCTCCCTGGGACGCATCCCGGCCTCCTCACCTGGGACACCGGACAGCACTCAGCACTGCCCTGGGCCCTTCTAAATGCGAAGTCACCTAGGAAAAGCACAGAAATGCACGAAACGCGGCCCTAAAACCCGCGAGAAGGACGCTGGTTTGCAGCCAGAGAGCTGGACGGGAGGGCAGGGCGTCGCCTTCTCCCACCTCAGCTGGGAGCGTGTGCTGCTGGCGGCTCAAATTGTCCCCTGCTCTGGGCATGTCCTCCGGGGACCACGAAAGCACTTAGTATTCATTCTGAGGGTATAGGTAAATTTTAGCCAGTAGGAGAATTTCCAAATACAGAATCTGCGAATGTTGAGGGTGGACGGTGTCTGTTAACTTACCCGGGCCAGGCTCACACCCTCTTCTCCCGCTCGTCTGCCTCTGCCTTTTCGGCTCTTGTCCCCAGGTGCCCGTGGTGCCAGGCTGGCCCAGGTGCTGCTGCAGTCAGGGACGTCCCCAGATCTCCGTGGCTTAGAAAGGCTGAGGCTTATTTCTCATCCCCACCACGTGCCCCTGGCATGGGGCAACAGACTGCTGGGGAAACACGCCTGAAGGGGTGGTCACTGTGTCACCAGACAGTGGGGACAGACTCAGAAAAGTCTCTGCTGTCACTTAAGTGCTCCGGCCTGGAAGCGCCATGGAAGTTCTGCTCACAGCTCATTGGCTGGAGCAGGTCCCACAGCCCGGAGGGGACATACCACCCACCCAGGCACTTGTGTCTAACAGCCCTGCCCTGGGGCCTGAGGGGGCAGGCACAGCCCTGCCCTGGGGCCTGAGCGGGGAGGCACAGCCCAGCCCTGGGGTCTGAGGGGAGAGACAGTGAGCTGTCCTGGAGGGGTCAGTTGGGGGAGACCGGGCAAAATGTAGCCCCTCCCCCACGCACTTGGCCACCTTGGAAGAAGCAGGCCTGTGGTGCTGAGCCCTCCCCGCTCTGGGCACAACCAGCACCTGCCAGGTCCCCGCCCAGGCTGCTCTGGCGCCGGCCGCGGAATCCGATCCGGCCAGGAAGCAAAGGCTGTTTGTTCTCCCTGGCCACCTGCTTGGCCACCCTGAAACCAGCCCCGGATCACTTTCCAGGGCGTCCGCGTGTGACCAGGGGCTGCTGGACGGCCTGGGCTGGCCTCGGGTTTGACTGGACCAGCCATCATTGCTGAGCCACTGAGCCTGCAAAGTCCCAACCCTCCGAGCCCTGCCAGGCCTGGGCACAGCCTCAGGACGGGCTGGAGGGTCCCCATGGAGGTTGCCCACCCCTCCTGAGTGGGGGCATCAGTGCTGACCGCTCTGGCTGAGCTTACCTCATCTCGGGCTGCGGTGGAGGGAGCCGAAACCCGTCCTTCCTGCATTTTGCTCCCAGATGCTGAGAGCCAGGTGTCACTGGGGCCTGGGTACCAAGAGGGTTGTTTCTGGAGAAACATGGTCCCAGCTGCACCACCCACCAGCTGGTCACCCTGAGCAGTGGCTTCGCCTCTCTATGCCTTAGTTTCTCCATCTTTTACAGTGGGGATCTCAACGGTCCTCACTTCATCGGCTGGTTCTGAAGAACACCTGTGCAGCTGTGTCTCTCCGCTGCCCCTGCCAATTGCTGCCAAGACATTTCCCGGCTCTGAAAGGCCTTCTCAGCTGGAAGGTTTCTGCAGCCTGAAGTCCGAGCAGGGTGGATGGAGGGTGCAACTCCTGGTGGCTTCTGCTATGGCAAACTCCACACTCTCTGTCTTCAAATGTTGTAGAGCCCAGCTTCAGCCTCTGCTGCAAGCTCCACCCCCAGGTCGCAGCGCTGACCTGGGTCAGCCTTGAGCACCCCCTCAGACCCCCTCCAAGCCAAGACCCCAAAGCTACCGTCTTCTACCCCAGCATTTTTTCTGCCTGTTCTTGAGCTTGATATAAATGCAATACCCCAATGAGTTGTATTCTGAGTCTGGCTAATTCTGTTCAATATTATGTCTGTGACATTCCTCTGGGGTGTTGCCTCTGTCAGACACCTCCTCTTTTTCATTGCTGAGTAATATTCCACTGTGTGGATGTACCACAGTCTGTTCATGCATTCATCTGTTATGAACATTTGTGTTGTCCTTAGTTCTTGGCCCCTCAGTGAAACTGCTCTGAGCACTCTCGTACGTGTCTGTTGATGAACACAAACTTGTTCCCGTTGGGTCCATACCCTGAGTGGAAATTCTGGGTAGCAGGGGAGGTCTATTTTCAGCTTTCACAGATATGGCCAAGCAGGTCTCCAAAGCCTATGTACAAATTTACCCTCCCACCTGCAGCGAATGAGAGTTCTGGTGGCTCAGTGTCTTCGCCAGCACTTGGCATTGTCAGTTTCCTTAATTTTGGCTATTCATCTCCCCAGAGCTCAAATTTCATAGCTATCCCGGTCACTCTTGCCAACCTAGACATGCGAGCTGGAAACAGTTGACGCCTGCTGTGTAGAAATTCCCCCTTTGTCCTCTTGCTCCTTCACTTGCACTGTCTGTCTGTCTTTGGGCAGAGTGTGCAGAACTTAGAAGACACTAGGTAGCTTCCGAGACGGTCCCTAAAGACCACAGCGTTCAGGTGTTCAGGCCTGTGTAATCCGCTCCACTCGAGCGTCGGCTGGACCTAGTGACTCACTTCTGACTGACGGAATGAAGCCCAGGAAACGGGGTGTCACTTCTGTGATCATGTCATACGTGACCCCTCCAGCTCGTCACAGACCCCTCTTGTGGCTCTGACGAAGCACGCTGCCCTACAAAGAGCCTCTCACACCGCAGAACTGAGGGTGGCTTCCACTGACAGCCAGCAAGGAACCGAGGCCCCCGGCTGACGGCTCTCAGAACCAAATGCTGCTATGGTCACAAGTGAGTGTGGAGCAGATCCCAGCCCGGCTGAACCATGACTGCCGCCTGAAGAGGAGGCCCCTGCTGAGCTGTGCCCAGTTCCTGACCCCTGAAGCTGTCAGATAATAATCGTGTGTTGCTTTGAGCTGCTACCTGGTGGAGTGATTTGTTATGCAGCAATAGCTAACTGGTACAAATGAACAGGATATTCAAGTTAGGGAGAGAAAATGTGCCGGCTTCTCAGCTAGCATCCATATGATTCTTGCTCCACTCACCCTTTTGCCTCTGAGACTAAGTCCAATTTGCACTGTATCTAGAACCATCCTGAAGATGGTAGGCATGAAGTCTTTTCCAAATTCTTATTTTACCCAAAATATGTTTTAAAGGGTGTTAATAAAGTGTTTGCTCAGGGAAATAGGCTCGTTGTTGCATCGCGTAATGTCCTTCAAGGTGGCATCTGGCCTTCTGTTCTGAATGTCATCAGCACAGAGGACCCCAACTCCATTCTGTCACTTTCAGAAGACTTCATGTGCAGAAGTAAAGGATACAGACCCATGGTTGTATTGAGGGGACAATGGTGATACCTGTGTGAGTTAGGCAGGCTGTTTGGACACAATGGCCATCCAAAAGTCAACAGCTCTTCTCAACTGTAAATAGTGCAGTTAAGTGCTTTCAATATCCCAGTTATGCCTGCTGTTGCAAAAATGCAACACAGCTGGAGCAGATGCTGTCTGTACCCCCCCTCCCCTTCACCCCCTCCACATTCATCTCTACATGATGAAGGTCACTCACAGCAAGTACCTGCAGCCCTGTGTGGGGCTTCCTGGGGCCACAGGAGTGTGTAGAGCTAGTGCCCAGGGAAAACCAGCAGTGTGAGGGGTCAATCCCTCCAAAAGCAGCTGTCAGCCAATGCCTGATGGGGGTCAGAGGATAAATACTCCAGCCCCCGAGGCCCTGGCGTGCAACCTGGGACCCCAGCTGGATGGAGACCTGGTTGTCCACAGTGCTGTCTGCTCATCGGTGCCCCCTGAGGGCTCCAGAGCTCCCTGCGGTCACCTCCAAGATAAATGAACAGCAACCCTGAAACCATCTCAGGGTCTGATGGCCCCAAACCAAGGCAGCATCTTTGATGGATTTGGTCCACATCCTAAAGCACACAGGACTGCTGACAGCTGCTCATGTCTGCCAGGCCTGTGGAATCACGTGAGACGGTTACACCCTTTCCAATCTGGTCCTCCTAGCTGTGTTCAGTGGGGTGGGGGAGGTCGCCTCATTTTATACAGAAGGAAACTGAGGTGACAGGTCACATGACTGTTCCCTGAGCCAGGGCTGTCCCAGCTCCTGGAGGACCAAACCCACACCGGGCCTGGGACATGCAGAGACCTGAGCATCTGGCTGCAGCCCAGGACCTCGTCTGGTTCTGGCCGAGATGCGAAGCCCATGGGCGCCCTCCGAGGGCAGCGCCGAGCGGGCAGGTTTTGGTCAGGACGGCGGGCGGTGCTCCCAGCCTCCCGAGCCGGGACCCCGCAGACATTCCAGGGCGCCAGTGCTGGGTCCCCGGAGGGTGAGCAGGGACCAAATGGGCAAGGCGAGCGGCGCACAGGGCGGTGTGGGAGGGGCGCACAGGGCGGTGTGGGAGGGGCGCACAGGGCCGTGTGGGAGGGGCGCCGCGTCACACTCAGAGGCCTCGGCCCCTGCGGGAGCCTGAGAACGAGCACCTCCTTACATTGTTTTGTTTTTAGTTGAAGTGAAATTCGCTCAACACAGAATTCGCCATTTTAAAGTGTACAATGCAGTGGCATTTAGTGCATTGATGATGTTGTGCAACCATCACCTCTGTCTAGTCCCAGAACATTCCCATGATTCCCAGAGACGACCCTGTGCCCATGAGCAGTCCCTCCCCACCCCCACCCCTGCCCCTGGCAAAACTACTCTGCTTTCAGTCTCCATGGATTTGCCTGTTCTGGACGTTTCCCGTAAATGTGTCTGCCTTGTGTGTCGGCTTCTCACTCAGCGTGATGTTTTGAGGTTCATCCGCGCTGTAGCGCGGGTCGGGGCTTCAGTGCTTTTTATGGCTGAATAGTATTCCACTGTGTGGATGGACTGCATTCTGTCCACCCACCACCCATTGATGGACGCTGGGGCTGTTTCCCTTTTGGGCGATTGTGAGCAGGGCTGCCGTGAGCTTCATGTACAAGGGCTGCTTTGAACACCTGTTTTCAGTCCTTCAGGCCTCCTTACACCTGGCACCCCACCCTAGTTCCTGGCCTTGGCGAGGAGTTGAGGGTCCAGCTTCTGGTGCCCCTGACCGGCCCAGGAGATGAGTCATTCTGCGCCTGCAGCCCACCAGGGTCCTTCCTCCCCGGCCCTCCTCTCTCCTCCACCCTCAGAGTCCCCAGGGCCTGCCCCATTCCAGAAAGTTCTCAGAAACTGGAGTCTCCAGTGTGTCCCGGGCACCTGCACTGTCTGGGAGCCCTGTGTGACGGGGAGCCATGGCCGCTGCCATGTGCTCTCACAGGAGTAGCCTCATTTCCTGGGCCTCAGTTTCCCCATCTGTAAATGGGGTTGTCGCCAGGATTAACAGGCCAAGAAAGCGCCTGGCGCCTGGCTGCAGCAGCAGGTGTGTGATGCAGACGGAAGGCAGGTTCTTCTTTTGTCCTCTTCGCTGATGTTGATCGTGTTCGCCAAGAGCCGGCGCTTACCAGGTGCCCCACGCCGGGACCACGCAGGCCGCTCACGCACGCCATCTCTTCACCCCGCTCCAGCCGCGAGGAGGAGGTCTGCGCAGCTTCGCGGGACCCAGGCTGGTGGGGCACCCAGGCCTGTGTGTATCTGATCAGCTGGGTCCCTACTGGGCACTGTCACCTCTCTACCCATCGAGAAGAGTACCAGGGGGCTTCATGCCACGGTGTGGCTGAGCCTCCTCCACTCCCTGGGCACCAGAGCCCCTGCGTGGCCCAGGAAGGGGAGGCCAGGAGACCTCTGGGGACACCTGTCTGTTTGGGGTTGGCGTGGGGGCCAGGCCGTCCTCGCTCTCGGGGAAACTTACATGCGTGAAGATCTGTGGGACACAGGTCCCAGACTGGGGTATACCAGGGGCACACCCCCGCCCCTCACTCCTGCCCTCCCACCCCACTCCTGTCACCCCACCCCTCACCCCGGGCCAGGGCTTGGCCACACAGCACATTTGGATGTGGCTCAAGTGACACGGAGACAGTGAGAGGCGGAGTTTATTTGTAGGTCGTGCAAGACGGGAGGGGACCAGGGCCCCTGGAGACCCCTGGGGCTCCGAGTTATCCACTCCAAGCCCTGTCAGTCCTGGGAGCCCCAGAAACTGGCCATCAACCTGCATTCCCCGTCACCAGGCACCCTGACCAACAGCAGCATGGTTGACATGCACTGGGGACCTACTGTGCACAGGCCCCACCCAGAAGGGCTTACACCAAGGCTCGTGCAGGCCCTGGGAGGAGGGCCCGCCTCCGTCCCCACGTTACAGATGAGGAAACTGAGACACAGAGTGGTGAAGCCCTCAGCCACGGACCCACAGCCAGGAGTCTGGGTCCAGCCCTCCAGCTGCACCAGGGGCCCTGGGCGGCTCTGAGTTCGGCACACAGGTTTCAAACGCTCACAGCCCGGAAGGAGTCGCAGAGTCTGAGCCTTGCACTGTCAGCAGCATGGGGGTTACAGGACCCGGGTTCAAATCCTGGCTCTGATGCTCAGTACTGGCCGTGGGACCCCTGGGGAGTCACTGCCCTCTCTGGGCCTCGGTTTCCTCATCTGTAAAATGGATGGAGACATTTAGAGAACCACTGCCTAAGCCTCACCCTTCCATCTTGCCTAACTAATTTCTCTGGTCAGCTACATTGCCCAGCCTCCCCTGCAGCAAGGTGTGGCCATGTGAAGTATAAGCAGAAGGGTTCCAAGGCCTCCCAGGAAGATTTCCTACAGATCCCGAGGCAGCAATTGGTCTCTGCCTTTCCCTCTGAGTTAGGAGGTGAAGGCTGGAGCCCTGGCAGCTATGTTGTGCCATGAGGCAACCTTGAGGATAAAAGCCAGGGATGCTGTGAACTGAGAAATCAAATCATATTGCTATTGTGGCTGAGCCTGGACCTATGTCTACAGAGTCCCCTTCCTGCTGTCTGACACCAGGTCTCTATTCCTGATCTCTGGGCTTACACCAGTGTTGAGTCCTTTCCTGAGCCCCCTGGCCTGTGGCCCAACATGCTGCGCATCTCTTGGGTGACCCCTTCCCAGTGCCCCCTGCCTGCTGACAGTGTCCGCTGCATGCGGGCTGAAGGCAGGCTGCTCTCCCGGCCTCCCCCCAGGTCTGTAGGAGCCGTGGCAGTCACTGTGGGTCTGAGGGAGTCCCCAGGTTCAGGGCAGAATGAGTAGGGGGTCTGGCGGTGGGTACCCTGTTGGGGCTGAGCCCTGGGGCTGGTCTTGGAGACTTCAGCAGGGTTGACGGGGTCATCTTCAAAGTGCGGTGGGGACAGCTCATGGGGGCCACGGCGGGTGGCCCGGGCCGCTCGGAGCAGAGTGTGGGTGAGCACAGTCACCAGGACCAGGGCACCCAAGCCGAGGATGGAGGCTGCCGCTGCACCTGTCTCGATCTCAAAGAGCAGCAGGGCATAGATGGACAGTGCTGGGGAAACAAATGGCTCTCATTTATTCAGTCTACAAACCTTTGCTCCCCAAGCCCTGAGAGAGCTCCCCAAAACAGGGGGACAATCATAGAAAACCATACAACATGATACACACATGGATCAACTCCTCTACTCCTCTTGCATCCCACAAACACATCATCATGTCCATTTTACCAGAAAATGGTAAATTCTATGTTATGTCTACTTTACCACAGCTGAAACAACCCAGATCTCAGGCTTTCTGAACCCCTGTGATCGACCTTGAATGAATCACAGCCCCTCTCAGGCCTCAGTTTGCTGATGGGAACAAGAGGGTTGGTGACCTATACTGGTTCTCTGGTGCCCTATCCAGCGTCCGGTTGGCAGCCTTCTTTTCAGTGGAAACTGTCCTGTGCATTGTAGGACATTTAGCAGCTTTTACCCATCAGATACCAGTAGCATCCTTCCCCTGCCTTGTCGTGACAATAAAAAATGTCTCCAGATATTGGCAGATGTCCCCTGGGGGCAGAACCAGCCCCATTGAGAACTGCCAGCCCGGTCCCCACCCTCACCTGTGTCGCGGGTCTAGGAGTGCTGACCTGCCCCTTTGACGTCAGTGATGTGTACCGTCGGGGTCTTGGCCAATCAGAGCATTGCTTCCCCTGGCTGTAATGATTGGTGCACCGCTATCACATGACCCGAGCTCAGCCAATCAGAGTCAGCCCTGGGACTTTCGCTTGGGCCGTGGGGATGGAGGAATTTTCTCACTGCAGCGCTGGGGGCGTTGGTGGGACTGAAGCCCGGGGCTGCCGAGGACCCCTCTGTGCTGCGTGGGCTGTTTTTACGCTTTCTGCAGCTCGCACTCTTGCTTTGGAAGAGGCCACACTGCATCATGTCTGACATATTAAAGTGAGGCCAAGGACATTTTTTTGGGCTAAACATTTTTGAAAACGTCTTTATAATTATTCTTTTGGCTCTGGTTAGCAACAAATGGACGATTGGCTGCACATGCTCAGGAATTCTTGCTGAGTGAGGTCACCTAACCTCAAAAAGAATCTAAATGGGAGCTAAACCAATTCTTAATTTAACGCTTAATGAGGCTGACATAGTTAGCTTTTTTTTTTTTTGCCCTTTGTGAGTTTTCTTGTGTTTTAGAATGAGGATATTTTATTCTCCAAGTCTCCCACATTTTTGTTGGCCCGAAAAGGCTCAAGGTCACAGGCATTGTGTCAAAACCACTTACAGGCACAGGCGTCTTTCTCAGGGGACAGCAGGTGAAGAGGTGAAGTGAGAGGCACTTCTGATGGCCTCATTCGAGCGCCTGGATCCAGCCACATCTGAGGCCAACCACCCCTGATCTTTTCAGATACACAAGTCACCCCATCCACTCTCTTTTGTAAAAAACCCACATCCGGAGCATTTTATTAAGTCAAACAACAAAAATTATGCAGAACTCCCTTCACTTTTTATACGAAATCCCCACAATGAACCCAAGCTCGCTCTCAGCACTAACTTTAAACATATTTTCTAAACTTCGATTTCTCTATTGCGGGACTAAGAAAAAAACAGTAATAGCAAATCTCTTGTTTTTCATTCAGCTGAATACTTTTTTCCTCCAGTAAAAACGGCTGTTTATAGGGCTGCCAGGGATGTGTGTCTGACTCGGCACCGAGTCTGCAGAACCATTGACACATTTTTCAAGAGTAGAATGAAACAGAAGTCGGGAGTCTCTTTAAAGAAACTTGATGGTTTGATTCCTTTACCAGCACATGTAGGTGAGAGAACGTGGATCTAAGGAAAGTGCTTACTGGAGGTCCTGCTATTGGGAACCAGAACAGCCCTTGCTAAGGCCAGCCTATGAGACGCTATCTGCAGAAACCACAAGGACATGGAAACTTTAGTTCGAGCCAAACGTAGAGAGCTGATGGATCGGAGGGGTTTTGAAGACAACCACCACTTGTGGAAGCCCATGGGGTCAGGAGCCATCCACGGGCTTTGACCGGGGTTAGCTCCAAGCCCCTCAGCAATTCTCTGGGGCAGGACAGTGACCATCCCCACTGTACCCATGGAGAAACTGAGGCACCGAGGGAACTGCGCAAGACTGCAGAGTGAGAAGTGTCAGAGCTGAGAGCTGAACACAGGCAGGCTGACTCTGGAGCTGACGCCACTTATGGGGCCATTAACTCTCACCCCAACCCAGGGCCCTATCGTTCTATCCCCCACGTTCTATCCCCAGCACGCACCTGCTAAGTAGACGGAGACCCCGCAGCAGAAGAGGCCGAGGGTCACGTGTCTGAGGAGGCGGCAGTCATAGAGAAACCAGTCAGCCCTGGTGGGGGGAGCAGGAAGGAAAAGGGCTCAGGAGGTGGAGGTGGGTAGGGGAAAGCCGGGGAGGAGGGGGAGGGAGAGGTGCCCAGCTTTGAGGCACCCAAGATCTATGTGAGGACCCAACCAGCCATCCATCCATCCACCGCTCCATCCATCCACCCGCTCATCCATCCTTCCAGGTAAATATCCACCACCATTTGGCATCCACCATCCCTATCAGTTGTTCAACCACAGAGCCATCCGTCCGTTTAACCACACCCTGTTAACCCATCCACCCATCCATCTGTCCCTCCATGCATTCTCTACCCACCCATCCATCCATCATCCGTCTTCCAGTCACCATCCATCTATCCAAGCAACCATCCAGCAGTCCATCCATCCTATCTCATTCACCACCTGTCCATCCACCACCCATTCTCCCTCCCTCATGACCCATCCACGTACATCAGTCCACTCAAACATCCAACACTCACGAAGCAGCTATTACATATGGACACTCGCTAGACACCCGACTTCCGTTATTGTACAGACCATAAGCTTATTTGGGAAATGAGGGGACTGGGGTTAACTTGTTACCAATGATGATAGAAACAGAGATTCCCAGGGGCTGACACTGAGTGAGGACTTAGTTTTGACCTGGCGTGCTAAGTGCTTCTGCTGTGTGCACCTCTTCCCTCCTCCGGCCCGGGAGGCCAGGCGGTGGAGGCTGAGAGCTTCCATCCTCGCTCCCCTCCCTCCAGTACAGCGGGAGCGGCCTTCCTCCTGGTCTCCCTGCCACCTCCCTCCTGGCCCCTGTTCTGCATGGTGGCCACAGCGGGTCACTCCAAACCTGTCAGAGCGTGCCCCTTCCGCTCAGAACTACCTTAGGCAGAGTAAAACCCAAAGTTGTCACCACAGTGCAGGAAGCCCTCCGTGGCCCGGCTCCTCCCGATTCCCTGCCTTCATCTCCCCCCAGCCACGCCAACTCCCCCAGCTCACTCCTGCCCCAGGGTGCAGCACAAGTTGCTCCCTCTGCTGAATCACAGACACCCCGATCTTCTGCCTCCTTCAAGGCTCAGCCCAGCTCTCCCCTGATGGTCCCATCCAGCCCCCACACCCTGTCTTCCTCCACGACGTTGCCCGTTTTCTTTCCTTCCCAGCATTCGTCACCATTTGACGACACTGATCTGTTTTGTTTCTTTATTGTCTGTGACCCCTTGAGGGCCTGTCTGGGTCTGCCTGGCTGTTGCCGTGTCCCCCAGTGCCCGGTGCTGGGCTCAGCCCCTGCGGGCACCCAACACATATTTGTCGATGGACAGAACGCATGCATGTCAGCCCACCTCGAACTACGGGATGAGGGCGCAGCTGAGATGGGGTCTACTCCAAAGGTGGGAGTTCCTATCTGCTCAAATCAATGAAATCTCAGACCAGGATCCTGGTTCCCCTCCCCCAGCATCCTGGAGGGAAACACTGGGATGTGGGGCAAGCACGTCCTCGGCTCAAGGAAGGTTCTTCACCCCACATGCTCTGCCCCCTGCAGACACCCGTTGGCACCCATGTCCCTGAGATCCAGTGCCAGAGGACAGCGTCGCAGCCTGGGCCTGGGCACGGGCTCCAGCTCCATTGGATTGAAGTGCAAATCCAGCCCGCCCCTCCCAAGCCGGACAGCCCAAGAGGGCAGCCTCCCATCGGAGCCGCAGGCACGGACGGGGAGACAGCCCGGCCGGCTGGCTCTGGGGTGAGGCCTTCACCCGGCTTATCCACGCGAAGGCGGAGGCAGAACTTAGGGTTCCATAAGTGACAAGCCTATCAGCGCAGGGGCTGGCTGACCCCCCGCCCTCGCCGAGCCGCAGTTTCCACATCTGTAAAGTGGGGGTCGAAGCAGCAGTCGCACCTGCTGTAAAATTTCAGGAAATACAGGACGGAGAGAGAGAGACGACAGCGGGGAGAGAGATGAACGCAGGGCAGGAGGAGAGGGAGGGAAAGATGCGTGGGGAGAGGGAAGCCCAGAGCGGGGCAGCGCGTCGCCCAGACTCGCCAGCCCCCAGCCGGCGGCGGGCCGGCCGTCCTACCTGCCGGAGCCGGGCCCCCGCGCCAGCTCGGCGCCCAGGTGGCCGCAGAGCGCGGCGAGCAGCAGGCAGGTGAGGCCCAGCGCCAGGGCGAGCGCGGCGAGCGCGGCGGCCAGCGGCAGCAGCGCCCCGGCCGCGTCCTCGGGCAGCCCGGGGCCGGCGCCCAGCTCGGGGCCCAGCCCGTTGGCGCGCGGCCCCCGCAGCTCCGCGCGGCCCGCCTGCAGCTGGAACAGCAGCTGCGCGCCCAGCGCCGCCAGCACCGCCGCCGGGACGCCCAGCAGGACCATCGCGGCCAGCACCCGGCCGCCGTACGACCGGGCCATGCGGGCGTCCTGCGGGGCTGGGGGCAGTCGAGGAGTCAGAGGTTTGAGGGGGACAGGGGAGTTGGGGGGCGTCCGAGGGCCCCCGGGGGGCTCGAAGGGGGCGGGGCCGGAGGGGTGTCTGAAAGTTGGGGGGCCGCAGGGGTCCCGGGGTGCCTGTTGCAGTGGGAACGAGGAAGCCGCCCGAACACTTGGGACAAAGTCTTCTCTCCTCTCCGCGGACCCTGCGGGCGCCCGCTCCGGGCCTCCGGGTCCTTGAGGGGCGGGGCGACGGGGGGGCGGGGCCCGATCCAAGGCGCCTGCCGGTCCCGAAACTCGGGAAAGTGCCCCCCGCCCCCACCCGCTGCCCTAAACACCTGTCTTATTGTTTAGAAAAAAAAGAAACTTGAACGAATTTTTCAATAATTCACTCCGATATTTGGTGTCTACCTGCGGACCTTGCCATCGGCTGCGATTGCCCCTCCGCTGACCTCCTCTCGAGGCTCCGCAGACACGTCGCCTCCTCGGCCGGGCCCCCGTGGACCCGCGCCCCGACAGGCGCCTTGTCCTCCGCTGCTAGGCTTTGCTCTTCCCACAGCGCGTTTGTTGTGGTTGTTATTTATTTATTTTTGTTTTAAAAATTGAAGTGAAATTTACGTCATAAAATTAACCATTTAAAGTGAACGATTCAGTGACAATTATTACATTCACAATGTTGTACAACCACTACTCGTATTTAGGCCCAGAACTTTTCCATCCCCCCAAAAAGAGACCCCGTCCCCATGAGCAGTCCTCCCCGTGCCCTCCTCCGCCCCCACCGCCACCCATCTGCTTTGTGACTCCACGGATTCGCCTGTTTGGGGCATTTCAGGTAAATGGAACCAGACAATGTGTGGCCTGTCGTGTCTGGCTTCTTCCACTCAGCATCACGTTTTTGAGGTTCCCCCACGGTGTAGCGTGAGTCAGGGCTGCGTCCCCGTTTGTGGCCAAGTAGCGCTTATCCAGTCATCTGTTGGTGGACTTTTGGGTCGTTTCCACCTTTGGGCTGCTGTGAACAGCGCTGCCATGCGCTTGTGTGTGCAATGATTTGAGTCTCTGCTTTCATTTCTTGTGGGTGTATGCCTAGGAGTGAAATGGCTGGGGCATATGGCCATTCTATATTTAACTTATCAGGGAACTGCCAGACCGTTTTCCACAGCGGCCGCACCATTTCACATCCCCTCCAGCCATGCACCAAAGTTTATTTATTTATTTATTTATTTATTTGTTTTTTGAGGAAGATTAGCCCTGAGCTAACTGCTGCCAATCCTCCCCTTTTTGCTGAAGAAGACTGGCCCTGAGCTAACATCTGTGCCCATCTTCCTCTACTTTATATGTGGGATGCCTACCACAGCATGGCTTGCCAAGCAGTGCCATGTCCATGTTCCGAACCCGCGAACCCCAGGCCGCCAAAGCGGAATGTGCGACTTAACCGCTGCGCCACCAGGCCGGCCCTGTTATTTGTTTTTGACTGGAGCCATCCTCCTGGCTGGGAAGTGCAACCTCACTGCAGCTCTGGTTTGCCTTGCCGTGGCGGCTGCTGGCGGTGAGCATCTTCCGCGTGCTGTGGGCCATCTGCGCATCTTCCCAGGGAACTGTCTGCTCACGCCCTTCGCCCGTGTTCAATGGGCTGTGACTCTCGCTTTCCTGCAGCACTGCGGTTTGCTGCCGTCTGAGGCCCCAGGGCCGCAGGATGTTGGCCTCGGTGCCAACTGCTGTGTCCCCTTGGTGTCCGGGACACCACCCAGTGCCCAGTAGGCCCTCAGTAAACGTTTGCTGCACGCGTGGATGAATGAATCGCCTCACACTCCTGCTCTGGAATTCTCACAAAGTGTGAGATATCAAATCTGAAAATGATTTCAAAGGGAACACATTCCTGAGAGATCCAGAGTGTAAGAGTGACAGGCTGGTGTGGCCTCCTGCAAGCAGGGCCCTGTCCTTGTACATTCAGGCCTGAAAGACAGAGAGTCATCACCCTGGACTTCACAGATGAGGAAACTGAGGCACAGAGAGGGGCCGGGAGTCCCTAGGACACACAGTACAGGCAGGGTGGAATTCAAACCAGCAACCCGGCTCCACCCACTGCTCTACACTACTCCACAGACATGTCATAGAACCCACTGGTTTTGCCTTCCAGGTCTCTTTTCTTATCTTTGGAGTCATCTGTTTTTTTTCAGGTTTCAAATTTTTGGAGTCTTCTGGGGGGAGTTTGTGGGCCCTGAACCCTCACCCCAGTGCCTTATGAGTAAAATGGCCCTTGGAGAAAGGACGGGGTAACCTTTCAGCCCCAGATGCCCTCCTCCTTTGCTGTGTGCCTTTGGGCAAGTCCCTTAACCTCTCTGGGCTTCCTCATCTGTAACAGGAGTTAGTTCATTCATTCACTTATTTGTTCATTCATTCACAAGGCTTCGGTCCAACACACCCAGCTTCTTTCATCATGACCAAAGTTGGAGTGAATTTTCCACGTTTTATGGGTAAAGTCCAAATTGGAGTAGCAGGGGCTCAGCAACTCATTTGGAACAGAGCCCCAGGTATGTCCTGGGTGTTGGGGACACACAGATGTCAGATACTTGCATTTATTCATTCAACAAACATTGATGGGGCACTCACCCTGTGCCCCGCTCTGGGACCCATTGGTGACTAAGGCAGGCCCAGCTTGCCCTTCCTGACTCATGGCCTGACGGGGGAGGTGGAAACCCATCAGGTAAAGGGACAATTCCATACAGTGGCCAAAGGTCATTATGGCACTATCTTAGATTTCACCACTATTTGTTGGGGCCTGGGTGGGGCTGGGGGGGTCACAGATACCAAGACCTGGCCCTGCCCTTTGTGTGGGGGGGGACTCTCTAGTTTGAGAGTGTCTGGCTTCAATTTAAAAAGTTAAGCCTGCAAGTGGGTGACACTCTGAGGGCGATCTTGTCTGCCTCGGCCAGGCGCCAAGCTGTCCCTTCCTCATGCAGCCCGCACAGGGCGCGGCGGCGTTGGGGAGGGCGTGACTCCTGTCTACCCGGGGAGGGTGAGACTCGGACAGGGCCAGAGACCTGTCCACTCACACAGGCGGGCAGGACAGGGGGCGGACTCCCCGCCTCACTGTCCAGGTGGGGAGGCTGGCCACTGCATGCTGGCAGGAATAGTAGTAAAGATATTGAGGGGTTGCGTGTCCCATCGTTTGCTTGGGAAGGACATTTTTAAACTTCTTCTAAAAGCTGCTGGAGAGCCGGCGACCTCGTATCAGATACACAGAATTTAAGAGCCGCTGTCACAGAGTCCATGGCACTCATTTCACAGATGGGCCTAATTGAGCTTCACAAAGAGAAGGTTGTGCCTGGAACCCGGAGCAGGTGGCGTCACCCACCGGAGCCTCAATTTCTCCACCTGACGATTGAGGGGAGGGCTTGTCCAGTCCTCGGGCCTCCACGGCCTCCCGGGCCCGGAGACTCCCCCCTCCCAGCGCACCCTCCCCGCAGACCGGGCGCAGAAGCGGGGGGTCGCATCTCATTTGCACGCTTGGCCCCGCCCCGAGGCCGCGCCTCCCCACCCCGCCGCCAGGCGGCGCGCAGAGCGACCTCCAGCTCCGGCTTCCTGGCCGACCTGCCTGCAGGACCCGGCCTTACTGTCGTTTTCCAGGGGAAAGAAAGAAGGCTTAGCCAGGGGAGGTGACTGTCCTACAGTGACGCAGCCGGCAAGTGGCTCCAGAAAAACTGTTCGATTTCTACGTTCTGCTGTGTTTCCCGGGGATATTCTGGGCTCAGCAGGGAGACGGGGGTTCTCGGGCCTCGCTGGTGCTCCGGGCCCCAGCACATGCGGCAACAAATACTGAAACGCATCGTGTGTAAACTGGAAATCCGTCGTTAAAGAATCGTCGGAATTTTGCGTGTGAAATATGTGGGCAACTCATTTCATGCACGATGAGCTGAGCGTCCTCAGCACGATTCTTCGATTTTAGTCTGCATTTTCCCCTTGGAAACTATTTGAAGACCTCCCCACCCCCCAGGACTTCAAAATATTTCCAGAGACCCTCGAAAAACTCTCCCTCACTTCAGCACCCCGCCCGGAAGGCTCAGACCCGCGGCTGGAGGACCAGGGCAGACCCAGGACCCGCTCCCTCCTGGGAAGGTCTCCTATAGAGACCCCTGCCCCCGTCCGCCCCGCCCTGGTCCCGCCCTCCACCTGCCGGGGGATCCGAACCGAGGCCCCCAGGTCCCGCCCTGCTTCTCCCTGGGATCTCCCTACAGCCGCCGCCCCCTCCTGGGGGTGGGCCTCAGAAAGACCCTCCCTACTCCCCACCGCTCGGCCTTTCCTCCCCGTCGGGAGAGCCCAGAACAGCGCCGCCGCCCCACCTGCCCCTGGTAGGGGGCTCAGAACACAGGCAGCCCGCTACCCCCTGCTCGGGCCGTGCGCTGGATACCCACCTTCTCCTGACCCGAACTCAGAACTGTCCCTTCCCCTCGCCCCGCCCCCGCCCCCGCTCCGTCCCCCTGCAAGGACCGTCCCAGATTCGCCGCCTCTGCCGTCCAGCTTTCCACCCTGCGGGGCTCGGAACAGCCCCCCGGCCCCGCCCACCACTGGGGGTTGTGTGTCTGAAGGTCATCATCGGCATGCCCTCCGTCCGTCCTCTCCACTCGGGGGTCAGAACGGCCCGCCGGCCCCGCCCCCGTCCTCCTCCTGGGGGTTTCATCCCAGGGCCCCCACTCCTGTCCCCGCAGGGTCAGAACAGCCCCCCGGCCCCGTCCTCGGCCCCGCCGCCTGCCCCGCGGCCGCGTGCGCCCCGCGCCGCCCGGGGCACGCGATACCTGCGGCGGCGCAGCGGCTCGGTGAGGCTCCGCGGCGCGGGCTCGTCCAGGTCCTCGGGCTGCAGGAAGCTGCGCTCCAGCACGTCGGCCGCCTCCCTCCAGTTGGCGAAGCAGGCGGGGCCCAGGCGCTCGATCTCGTCCGCCGCGTCGCGCGTGAGCACGTCCCCACCCGGCGTGAGCACCACGACCGCCGGCAGGCGCTCCACGGAGAACTGGCGCCCGAGCTCCCTGCGGGGCACGCGCGTCAGTGCGGCCGGACTTCCAGATCATCCGGGACCGAGCCTGAAGCCCCGAGCCGGGGAGTCCCACGTCCCGCCTCCCGGTACTGACTGAGCGCCCCTGTGTGCACTGCCAGGTCCTGAGCGTTGGGGACGCCTGGGGACCAGGCCAGGCCTGGCCACACTGGCCTTGGTGCTGTGCCTCCGAGACCCCAGCCACGCTCCCACCTCAGGGCCTTTGCACTGGCCGTGCCCTCTCCTGGAGCACTTTCCCCAGATGTCTGCGGGTTAAGACCCTGTATGCTGCAAACATCCGACCTCAAATGGCAACACCTCCCTTTCCCTCTGCTTGCAGCTCCTCTCAGCATCCAACACACCGCCTAGTTTATTTATGTCTCCTGTTCATCATTGTCTCCCACAATGGAATGGGCTTCACTAGGCACTGATTTCTGTCTCCGTTGGTGTCCCCAGTGCCTACAATGCCTACAACAGTGCGGGGCACAGAGTAGGTGCTCAGGGAGCATATATGCGATGAACGGGTAAATACTAATAAATGCCATAAAGAAATGATAAGCTGGGTAAGGGGGGGCCTCTCAGAGGAGGTGACCTTTGAGCTGAGATCTGCAGGACGAGGA